GATGATCGTCTTTTGGGTTACATTGTTTTTTTTTCACCAAGGATGTAAGTGCATTTTTATTTTGTCTAAAAATGTTCTTAGTTAAGGATTTTCATGTCAAATAGACATATACAGAATAAAAGAGTTTTACACTGGAAAGTTACAACATCAAACAAAATTTTATTTCTCTTATTTCAGATTCTCTGGTTCCAGTTGAAACTGTTCAGCTTGGTGAACCAGCAACCTTGACATGTGCTATTCCCAAAGAGCTCAGCGTTAGGGGACTCAAATGGTACAAGCAGAGCGTCGGGGATACTCTTAAATTAATAGTTACTCTGATTCAGTCTAAAGCTGATTTTAGTCCTGGATTTTCGAGCTCAAGATTTCGGATAAATAATGACGCAAATTTTAGCAGCCTGATCATTTTAAATACAGTTCAAGAGGATGAGGGTCACTATCACTGTACAAACACAGAATGGATTGGAACTACATGGGGTGGAATATATTTGTTAGTTACAGGTAATAAGCCAATCTACTTTTACAAATGTTCACATTTTTCTGTGCATGTTTGGAAGAATGTGATTTGTATTACACAGGAAAAGCTCAGAGGACATCAAACTATGCAGTCAGTCAGTTGCTGATAGAATCAAATCCAGTCTGTCCAGGAGACACAATGACGCTCCAGTGTTCAGTCTTCTCTGACTCTGACATCAAGACGTATCCAGGAGGTCTCAATATTCTCTGGTTCAGAGAGGGATCAGATAAATCTCTTCCAAACATCATCTACACTGACAGAAACAGAAGTAATATATGTGAGAAAAGATCTGACCATCAGAAGACATGTGTTTATCACTTCTCTAAGAACGTCAGCTCCTCTGATGCTGGGACTTACTACTGTGCTGTGGCCACATGTGGGGAGATATTATTGGGAAGTGGAACTACACTGGTTATTCAAGGTAACGTTATCATTACTCTATTAATTAGAAAAGATGTCACTTAACTAGTCATTTTTAGTTGGTTTTTTTTTATTGCACTTTGGCTTTCATCTCATCTTTTCCTTTTCTTTTTAATATGATTGCAGAAAGCAGCGTGTGGTCACAGACAGTTGTTTTCTTACTTTGCGCTGTCGTGGTTATGAGTCTGATTGTTATTGCTGTCCTCATTTACACAATCAAGATAAACAACAGTGATCATCCCAAAGGTAATTTAAATTAATCATAATTCTCTTTTTAATAAAAGCATATAAATCTTGAGTTTTATACATTGTTATCTGTATTTTCCACAATCAAGCTGCTGTCCTGCAGAAAATCTTTAGTGATGAGAAAAAACAGCAGGTAAAGCAATTAAAGCTAAGAATATTTTTATAATTGTTTTTCTTTTTTAAGTTTTTATGTTTCTAATATTTTTTATGCACTGCATTTTCCCAGAATAAGGACACGTGGATGTTTTCTGCTGTTGTCTTTACCACGCTGAAAGTTGACAGAAGTATAACAAAGAGTGCAAA